CTGCGTCTGCCGATCTGAATCCACCACCGCCGTTTCGGGACGTTGTGGCTGAGAGGAGAAGGCTGCTTTGTTGGGGCTGCGACGACATCAGCCAAACTACTACACCAAAGGGAAGACAAAGAAGACGAGTTGACAATAACAAAAACATCTGACTCCACTTGGATAATGTAAAACGCGGGTTCTGCCATTTACACCTGTCGGATATCTTTCAACATGTGGTCTTGGGCGCTTCTCATACAGCCGCTGCTGTGGTGGCGGCTTGCTCACAGTTCTCAGCATCACGTCATAGACTCGCCCTCACCAAATAGCGAATCATCGCCGTCAAGCATATCAACGTCGTTGTTTGCGGATCTTGAGCGCCTGTCTAGACTGGTAGACGTGTCGTACTGTATCGGCAGCACCGGCGTCCACAAGCCATTTCAGTGCCTGTCGCGGTGCAAAGAGTTTCCTGGCCTTTCTCTAGCCATGACATGGAGCACCGGGTTTCTCATGGGCGACAGCTGCGGCTACATTGCGGTGGATCATGGGAGCAAACGGAGGGAGAATCAAGATGGCGGCGTCTCTGGGGAGAGGAACGGCGCCATCATTGTCGCATTTAGGGGCACATACAGCATCGCCAACACGGTGGTGGATTTGGGCACGATACCCCAGGAATACGTGCCTTATCCCGCCCCAGATGACGATGACAGCGACTTCCTGGAGAACTATCGTCGCAAGTGCGACAACTGTACCGTCCACATGGGGTTTCTGCACTCGTGGCGGATGGCCAGGGGGACGGTTGTGCCGGAACTCAAGGCGCTGAGGAAGAAGTATCCGTCTTATAAAATCCAGCTGGTCGGGCACAGCCTTGGCGGTGCCGTGGCCTGTCTTGCCGCGCTGGAGCTGAAGCTGTCACTCGGCTGGGACAACTTGGTTGTGACTACCTTTGGCGAACCTCGGGTCGGCAATTACCAACTGGCTCGCTATATCGACAAGGCCTTCCAACTGGACGGCACGACAAATTTGGAACACAGGGCGTACCGCCGTGTGACACACAATAACGACCCGGTCCCGCTGCTGCCTCTGGAGGAATGGGGATACAGCCCTCACGGCGGAGAGATATACATTTCGAAGCAGGAGCTCCAACCTACCGAAGAGGACATTCGATCATGTGTTGGCGATAGCGATCCGGAGTGTAGTGCCGGTGCTGAGACCTCTTTGCTCGAGGATATGCGTCGACTGCTCCATTTCGCCTCTGCCTCCCCGTCTATTGAGGAGTACATTGTGGCGAGGACCTTGCCGACTCGTCTCAAGATTTGGCAGCTGTTTTTCGCACACCGAGACTATTTCTGGAGGCTGGGACTCTGTGTGCCGGGAGGAGATCCGGCGAACTGGGGACGAGGTTGGTCAGGCGGAATCGAGTCGGAAGAACTGTAGAGGAACAAGATGCACGGCATTGGTCTGGTGGCTTTGACGGACCAACCATTCGTGGCAATCTTGTTGTTTCTTCAATCGTTTACACTTTGGAAAGCTTAGATACCCGTAACGAAAAATATGTATTTAATGGAGTAATAACTAGGTTTGTATAGTCTAATCAGCCTTATTTAAAATTGCCCTATGTAATATATGTACTACACACGTGCCGTGCACTAAGCTTCTCTAGGCGAGATACAAACAACCTTGCTTTCGCTTTGCAAAAGCCAAAACCGTAGAGAGCATGAAATATGGCTGACACTCTATATATATGTATGGTGTTGTGTATGATACTCACCCCGTGCATAAAGGAAATCAACCAACCCTGGACGCATTAAAATGAGGTTATGCTAATCCTGTACGGGCTCTTCACAAAAACAGTCCGTGACACAACAGCCTCGCAAACAACGGTCACGGGTGGAACCAGATCTCAATATCGTAGCCAACCAGATGCGGCAGCGTCAGACCAAGTCGGACAACTCACACAGGATTTCTCGAACCAGTGACGCGCATCAAGGCTGCCTGCGCTCACTCCGTCATACGTACCTCATCCTGAGGCTGAGCCACGCGACATTGGTGAAGCCGTCGTTTGTGGTGAAAATCAAGGACGCGTGCTACAAAGAGGGGCAGCCGTATGATGAAATGAGTCACATTAGCATCTGGGAAATTGCCACCACGGACCTCTGTAGGAGGCGTGATGCATGCTCCTCCATGAGTTACTGACAGTGATTGAAGGAGGCGCGCAGGGCACCTATCGTCCTGAACGTTGTTCTCAGGTGCTGCTCCGGATGTTCTTGAACTCGCACCATTGTGAGCCAGAACAAATGCCACTCGGACCAGCCTCACAGACGTATATATTTACAGACGCGCATATATTTATATCCATATATAAATTGCACATGAAAGCAAGAATCCGGTCCCGAAGGCCTCCTGCTTAAACCAACGTGATAGTTGCTTCCCACTGTGATGTACGGTTGGCATTGACGTGAATCCTCGTCAGCTGTTACGGCTGGCCAGTGGGGACCTCCAGCGGGTTGGGCCAGCCATAAAGCAACATGGAAACCAGGCATCAGCAGCCAATGCTTGGATGGCGATTGTTTGCTGGTTGGGGTGCCATATGACCAAGATGAGATAATATGATGGCCCATGGAGCATCACAGAAAGAAGCCTCGACTACCTGGGTACTTGGTGAGACGTAAAAAATGCAAAATGAGGAATCGGCGTCGAAGGCAGCAGGCTCTTGATGAAGTCGGTGGCCGAAATTATCAGTGTATTGTCGCTGAAAGCAAAGATTTTCTTTCAGCCGCTCACTGCCTAAAGTAGGTAGGTAAAGACCCTGCTTTTTGGTATTGTGGATGCGCAGAGTGGGATTGATCCGGTAGGGAAGACGGAGTAGTGCCGCCAAGTACGGCGTCAAGTTCTGTCCCGTCCAACTGGATGCGACGACCTGGTTGGGTCTGCCATTGTGACGCTGAGCGGCATTGTAAAGACATTGCTGCAAGGTCGCAAGAGGACTCATGTGCCGAGGACCTGAGGCTCGCGATAGCCCACGTACCACAGATATCGCTTTTGCATAAACATACCAAGTGCGACCATCGCTGGTGTTTTCGGGGTGGACGGGGGAGATGTCGAGGAGTAGCCTTTCTCCTGGATAAGCTGGAGGGAGAATGTAGAGATCGACCAAGGCATGGATGAAAAGAACAACTGACCTTGCCGTGCTGGCGCGTCTGTTGAGGTACCTGATACTTGGCGAAGGAACAGACGACCGATGGAACGCTGCATAAAGTAAGGCTGCAGAAGAGGCAAGAATAAAGCTACCAGGTGCCTGAGACAACTTGAAAGGCACCTGGGCTCTAACTTGGGGGTACAATCCCTAGATGACCGCTGTGCTTTCTCAACTGCCTCGAGTGCCTCGTACCTAAAAAAAAATATCCAGTAGTAAAATCTTAAAACTTTGCACTGAAGCATCTATGTATTTTGCGTGTGGTCTGAAGTCGACATCGATTCAATGACGCGACAATTTAGTTGTTGGGCAGTCATAGCAGAAGAACAAGATTGGGTTGGGTTGACTGACCGCGAGGCAAGAGCGTTTGAGCGTGCGGGTTTGTTGGCAGCGATACGGCCCAAGAAATGTACCAGACATAGGTACGGAGTACTACTGGGTCGAAGGGAGGTACCCAGGCGCTTCGCTTCGGACGCCTCGTAGGATCGCCGTTTGGAATGCCTGGAGGTCGTTATGCAACAGCAAGTATGATGGCAGAGCCTCGAAACAACTGCTTGGGTACGTGTTTTTGCTCGACCGTCGACATTCGACACTTGACGCCCAGAAAGCTTCTCGCGTCGAGCCAGGCGGCTCCATGGCCACGGCCGTTTGGGGCAGACAGCGACAGGCCCTTGGTCCTGCAGCCGCACATGTGTCGACCCCTCCCTTGCTGCGTGCCCCAGGTGCCACCACGTCGACACATGTCTTTGTCCAGGTTTGCTTCAATCTTCTGCGACAGCTTGCGGCGACCAGTCCCCGTCGAGATTGATGGGCATACACGTCCCAAGTCGGTATCCACAATGGCTTCGTTCTTCCACGGGCATCCACAAGCCGGACACACACGCGGCTCCACCAGTGGCCCAGCCCGCTGGCGCCCGTCCACGTCCCCAGTTCAGTCCACAGTCGTCGCAGCACTTGGCCAGGCCAGCGTCGGCGTCCCAGCGCTGCCAGCCTCGGGTCGTATTGCCGCCAGGTGCGCACCTGGCCAGACGAGCTTTTCCTGAACTTTGGCGACGGAGTCATGGGGGGTGAGAGATGGTGGTGGAAGTGTCTGGTGAAGAGGCACACGGAGCCGGGCTGGTGGCATCGTCAAAACATGAGGAATGAACCGCAGACACGACGAGACAAGAGTGCTCTCCCACAGGGCCCTGCTCCCGCGCCAAGTAGCCGCCCGTCTGGCTTCTGACTGAAATCAAATTGCTATGAACACATGCATCTCTCTGCCGGCTGTTCAAGTGTGCTCAAGTCATGTCAAGTAGCAGGAGCCGTCTGGCAAAGGCCACGGGCCCCGAGCCCCGAGCCACGCAAACCATGGGCAGGCAGGTCAGTGTTTGGGATGCGCGGGTGCGTGGCATTCGTCATGGAAGCTCTGGCGAATGCCTACATGTATGGTGCCAGCCTTGAGCGTTGAGCGCTTGACATTGACCGTGCCGCCGTCAATGTCAACATGTCAACTGGTCAAGTCTGCCTCTCTCTGCCCAGCTCCGCCCCAGGGCCCCAGAGCCCGGAGACGGGGGCCCCCTCTCCAGAGCCTGGAGGCCCAGCACCCAAACCGAACCAGCTGGCCAGACTTGACCAGTTGACCTCGACCTCGACCACTGCTTCCAGAGGCTCGTGGTCCACAATCAAAATATAAACACCCACCCCCTCATCTCGTCCCTTCAACGCCTTATCTACAGACCCCCCCGAACACGCTTTTTTCCACATTTCTCTCGCATCATCCTTTTTGATTCCCTCTTCGCACTTGTCTCGACACTTTCTCTCCCGTTATCTCTCTATCCACAAAATGACCACTGAGGTAGGTTCTTCTCTATTGAGTCTTGCTCCCCCCTCCCTCACCTCCTCTCAAAACTCCCACCGCCGTTGCGGCCCGTGTCTATTGCCTCATCCTGCCCGCGAGCGTGGCTGCGCAAGCCTGTAGCTCCGGCTCCGGCTCGTTACGGCGTATCCTTGGTCGTATATCGACATTTTCGGTCAATCCCAGCTGCCAGACGCCGGCGACACCCCTTGCCTCCCCTCATTCTGCCGCTGCCTGCGTTACGCTTTGATCCATTGGTGCATGATGCTGACGATATTTCTTCTCTTTAGCGTGAAAGGTTTGTCCACCTACACCTGATCCAGAGACTTGTGCCTCTTCTCTCAAAGAAAACAAGAAAAATCACCCGCGTCGCTGGCCGGAAAGACTGACATTTTTTCGATGTGCAATATAGCAAGACCTTCCTCGCCCGCCTCTGCGAGCAGGCTGAGCGCTACGATGAGATGGTCACCTACATGAAGGAGGTTGCCAAGCTCGGCGGTGAGCTGACCGTCGACGAGCGTAACCTCCTCTCCGTTGCCTACAAGAACGTCGTTGGCACCCGCCGTGCCTCGTGGCGCATCATCTCTTCCATTGAGCAGAAGGAAGAATCCAAGGGTTCCGACAAGCACGTCTCTACCATTAAGGAATACCGTTCCAAGATCGAAACAGAGCTGGAGAAGGTCTGCGAGGATGTTCTCAATGTTCTGGACGAGTCTCTCATCCCCAACGCTGCCTCTGGCGAGTCCAAGGTCTTTTACCACAAGATGTACGTAAAAGCTGCTCCAGCCGGTTGCTCATGCACAAACAGTGTCTGCATAGATTGCTAATTGTCCTTCTCCGCTAATAGGAAGGGTGACTACCACCGATACCTTGCTGAGTTTGCCTCGGGTGAGAAGCGCAAGGGTGCTGCCACTGCTGCTCATGAGGCTTACAAGGTTAGTAAATATCGCACGCTGCAGTTGCCTAATAAATCGCCCAATGACGGCGCGCATATCAATTGATCATTCCGTACTCCTTAAAGCTCTGGATGCTAACCCTCTGAAAACTCTTTAGAACGCCACCGACGTTGCTCAGACTGACCTTACTCCCACTCATCCCATCCGCCTGGGTCTGGCTCTGAACTTCTCAGTCTTCTACTACGAGATTCTCAACTCGCCCGACCGTGCTTGCCACCTCGCCAAGCAGGCCTTTGACGATGCCATTGCCGAGCTCGACTCACTCTCTGAGGAGTCCTACCGCGATAGCACTCTGATTATGCAGCTGCTGCGCGACAACTTGACGCTGTGGACTTCATCCGACAACGCCGAGGCCGAGGGCGCTGGTGCTGCTGATGCCCCCAAGAAGGAGGAGGGCGAGGCTGCGGACAAGCCTACTGAGGAGGCCAAGGCTGAGGAGCCCGCGCCTGAGTCCACCAACTAAACTCTTTTTCTCACATCTCCGATATCATGAGCATTTCGGCAAAATGGTACCGAGATGCGATTTTGGGCTGGCTTGTTCTCGCATATTAACCTCTATTGTACACGAGAACAGCTGGATCGTGTTTTTAGGGCTGGCAGGCAGGTGAATTTTGCGCCGGTGCGCAGATGCGTCGATGTTTTATTTTACGGCAAACGGGTGGAGGGGTCAAGGTGGTCCTTGTTATCGACTAGGGAAAAATGGAAATTGTTATGGTCACGGATTGAATTCGTACGTTTTCGCACCGTTTCACCTTTTCGTTGGGCCAGAAAGCCTTTGCTGGTAGTCCAGTCTCTTATCAGGCGAGACTTTTCTCATCAGCAACGCTTTTTTCCGGGTACTTGCCGTATCACGGATGATCCCTTCTACCACGAGAGTTTTGCCCCTGGTGTCGTTGTTTTCCATGTTTGGTTTGACGACTCGCCGACTCGAGTCAATGCAAATGTTGCTGTTGGTTTTTCTTGGTGTCCTTGTTTTTGCCTCTTGCCCCTCCCCCATTTCATTATTGTTATGTCTGTTATTTTTTTAGTTGCTGGCTGCTCGTTTTCCTCCTGTATAATGGCTCAGTCTCTCTCGGGAGAGAAGGAATCGTCATGTGGCTCTTGCATCTTCATTTCCCTCCCCCAACGCACAAAAACTAAAAAATTACTTATACCGTTCTCCACGGCCGATAATGAGTGAAGAGACGATGATAGTTTCGTCTCGTGACTGGGGCGGCTTGTATGTAAAGCTGGATTGTGGACAAGTAGTACGTTTCTATGGGGACTGAAATTTTCCATGCATGATTCGGTGCTACGTTGCTGGTCTGGTTTACACTCTAGGCGTGGATTAATGAACACTGAAATAAAAATCTAAACTACGTGCCTCTTGGTGTGATTGCGTAGCGGAAGATTGTGGATTTGTAGTCACGGAGTATGGCGTTTCATACGAGGCTTTTTGATGCAAATTTGACTGGGTATGATGAATATGCATATTAACCAATTATGCTAGATTAAGTAAATATAAACCGTGAGGGAAAGTATACGTATATACTGCTGACATGCCAGACTCCGTCACCATATGCCCAATATTCAACGCCAGTGCACGAACCGCATGTGTGTTGTTCCTGTTTTTTTCATTGTCTCATCCTGCATGGCTTTGAAATAATCTTCAAGCCGGGTATCATTCTCTTCTGTCCAGTTTCATGAAGTGGCTGCGCGATTCTGATCTAATAGGCGAGCGGCTCGTTCCAAACGCTCGTGCTTCTCTCTAAGACCTCGACCCGTGCCGACCTTGTCATCGCTGCTCTCTTCACCAAGACTGACTGCTTCTTCGATTGTATCGATGCCTCTTGCGTCCACCGGGGGTGGGGGAGGCGGTGGTGCGCGGTACATGGCAGTCTTGATGGCAGGTTCATGGTCCAGGTCTTCATCTTCGAAACCGCCGAAGCGGCCGCCTGATAGACGACGGGCAATGCGGCGCCAGAATCGGCGGCCCCGAGACATGGCACCAGCGCTATGTTGCCGTTGTGACAAGGAATTCCCAGCAGACGAGTGTGTATCCGAAAGAGAGAAGGCGATGCCAGTGGAACTGGCTGCCGAAGAGGCAGCGTCATCGAGTGCCGAAGCGACTTCAGAACGCCAAATGAGAATACGGTTCTGAGTTGAGGCAGAAATGTTCGACCCCCGTGCAGCCATGGCTGAAATTTTGGAAGAGACAAGAGGCTAAGGACTTTTGGTCAGGGTCCAAGTGTTGGAGGGAGGGATGTCGTGTGACTCTCCGTCCAAGGTCGGAGACCCAACCAGGAAGCTCTGAAACGGAGGTGCAGAAGTTTCTCTGGATAAGTTGTCCAGTCCAAAGGCTAGTTATACTTTCTTTCAATAATACTACTTCACCCTGTACGAAGCAAGAATTGGGACTTGGACTGCCTCTTGTTTAGTCTAGTCTGTTGTTTTCACGTTGAAATGTTTGTACTCGGCCCTATGAGGCAATGGCGCGGCACTGGTAAGTTTCGGCAGGTATATCGTATGTTAGTGCCGTTGGCGGTTCGGTGTATTGGCAGAGAGTATTTCTTATGTCTGAGTCAATTTCGGCAGGGTATTCGCAATCTCAGATGCTGCCCATACGCTCCGTGACCGACACCAACTGACTGGAACGGGTGGCAGTCGGGTAGAGGAATTAAATGCGATCGTGGGAAAAATGGTGACTTCGGAAGTGCTAGTTTCTTTGGATCGAGGCTGCCTGGGTTCGGAGCCAGGAGCGTGACTGGGGTAGTTGTGTGGGTGCCGGTGGATTAGTATTTGACTGTTGGCAACGGGTCCAATCAAGCAACCGATATTAACGGTACGTTGGTATAATAGCTTTCAAATGTATGGGTATCTTGCGGATAGGATAGAAGCTGAATGGCGCACGGGGTGGTGTCATCCAAGGTGAGAGGGCAAACGCAAGCGATGTGGGCTATAAGAGCTCTGCCTCACGGGACACGCAGATGTGAGCGAGTTATTAGAGGGTGGAGAGTAGGGAAGAAAACGTGTTGGTGTGTGCAGTCATTTGCGAGTAGGTGGGCGTTGTCGACTTTAAGGACCGCTGCGTTGAAGGGGCCTAGCCTCGATGACAGACGGCCTGGCCTGGTTGGAGACACCTGAGCAAGGGAAACGGCTAAAGGAAGGCCAGAACAGAACAGAGCGAAGCTTCCTAAGCTAATGAGAAGACCGTTAGTCTAGGTCCTATCGCTCGCTGTACAACGGCAGTGGAGGGTGGGCAGGCACATACTCCGTACTAGGGAGTTGTTCGTGAGTAGTATGAGAGGCACATGGATGAAGTCTTGGAGGGCGATCGCCTCGGGACACAGCCGAAGCTTAATCAGAGCAATGGAGATGGGCCTCACAGCACCGATAACACCAGAGCACCACACCGCACCCTGGGTTCGTGCAGCAAGTATCTCGATGGCGATCGCTGATACGCCAAGGTACAAACATGGAAACTGGAGCTCGCTGGTGGTGGTGGCGGAGGAGGCGGCGTCGTGGAGGTCAAGCCGTGGATGGTCAAGATGGGACGATGGATTCTGGTCTCGTGATGGCTCGTGGAATGCAGCAGTCTGCTCACCTGGTTGGAGGAGAGCAAGAGGGTTCAATGACTCTTTCCTTCTCGAGTGGGAAAACAGCCTGGCGTGTTCCTTCCCGCCACCGTTCTCCGTCCCAAGCCTAGAACTCACTCAGAACTGGAGTCTACACGGAATACTCCGTATCAAGATGTGAAGATTGTTTGATTCCTTGCCCAAAGTTGGTGTTGAGCCTTCTCTGCCGTCCACCGGAGCCATTTGGCCTTCTTTTCGCATCGTCATTTCCACGCCCCTGCGAGACCATGCAGCAGTCACGTCGCTATCGGTACTTAATCCGGCACTCTACCACCCAGATCACGGCGGCAGTAGCAGTCGAATGGGTGCTGTGGTGGGTGGCAGCAATTCGGACACTTCCTGCGCATGCTGACCTAGGGCTATGGAGTAGTACATCAGCCCACCAATGCAGCCCACATCGCGAGGCGGCAACAGCCAAGACCAAGGTAATCGCCGTGGCCACCCAACAACCGCAACACCAACAGCGAAGTACCGTGATGCGTTGTAACTGGACTTGGGCAGGGGCCCCGGTAGTCTTGCTGTCTTGGCCTGGCGATTCATCACTGGCGTGGCCGAGCTGTGGAGACGGCGCAAGCCGCAAAGCCTTGAACGTTGCATGTGGTCGCCACTTCTGTCAGAGCAGCAGCCGGAACAGCTGCGTACTAAGCAGCTGGGGTGCTGGTGATACTGGCATGTTGTACTAGGCTACTACTAGTATGTACTACTAGTAATAGCTTCATCTAATATTGTATGCTGTGCGAAAACTAATAGTGCAGAGGATGGACTGACAAGCTTCTCGAGCGGGTGGACGGCCTTGGCGACGCCCCCAGACATGACAATGTCGGACACGCAAATCGGCGGGCATGGTGTCTTCCATACTGGTCCGTTGTCGTACCCAAACCTCAAAGTCATGTTGGCTCAAGCATTCTCTGGCGGCTCAGAAACGGCAATAGGGCGGCCCGAGGTTTGCAGCCAATTTGCAGATTCCGCCTCATTTAAACAAGCGATGCAGCTGAGCAACCCAAATCTCCCCAGCCGCCAGCCGTTCCCGTTCGTGTCTTCGTCGTTGTGGGGGAGAGAACAGGGCCCGGGCTTGAACTCAACTATCAGCCCACCTTTATTACTCGGCCCAGAGCCCTTGGGAGCATTCCAGAGCCCTCAATCATCTCCAGAATCCGCCGTTCATCTCACCTCTGCCGCTCTTCCTCTATCCGAATTGTCAGAGGATTTTTAGCGTCAATCCGTCCTCCTTTATCCGTGTTGATGACAGTACTGCCCTCACCACGTTAGCAATTGCTCGTGTACCGGCATAATGAGTAATATCCCTAGTTCTGTATAGCCCCGGACCGGCAGCGTCGTGTTCTCATAATATCGTGGTATCAAAGCGACGATGCGCCATCCTCACCAGATGTCATTGCGCCTACTCCGTACAAGAGAGTAGCACCAGCTACTCAGTTACATCTTGCAACTGTGTCTCGCGTCCAATCACTTGCCAATATTCGTCAATAGGATGGCTCATCCTCCGGGATTTCAGTCACGTCACACGCATTGCATCGCCCGTTAGTTTCAGGCTGTTTAGCTCTAACAAGAGTCTCATAGGGTCAATACGCCGTACGCCGTACGTACATACATACATACCCAGAGCTTGGCTACCATTGCATGTCCAATTGCCAAGTTTGTATCCTTCCCTCGCTCCCGCCCTTCCCCCGGTCATTTGGTGTAACCATGTATCGTCTATTGTTCCCGTTCACGTACGGAGTACCCAAAAGAAAAATGTCTCTCTTTCTTTGCAGCGCCATGTGCTCATTAGAGTGTTTCACGAACCACCAGTCGTGTTCGGTTCCGTGGAGTAATTGCTTCGTAGCCAAAG